TTAATGCCTTTTTAATTTTTCAAAAATCAAGGTTCCCCCCCCCCCCCCCCTTCTTGAAAATGATTCAATAAAGTTGGTCTGGGTTCCCCCGGGAAAATTTTGATTTCTAGATGGCGGAAAATGAGGTTTCCTGACTTCTGAAATGTCTTCTAATGACTTTTAAAGTTCTTCAAAATTCAAGGTTTTCCCCTCTTGAAAAAAGTCAGGTAATTTTTTCTCATTTTTTATTTTATGTGTGTATACATAGGGGCCTACATAAACAAATGAGTAGTTGCATGCGTATTCTTTTTTCCATGAATCGATAAATCCCAAAAAGAAAGGGTGATCCAGGGGTTCTCCCCCGGGAAATTTTTGATTCCTGGATGGCGGGAAATGAGCTTTCCCGACACTTGAAGTGTGTTTTAATGACTTTTATGTTCTTCAAAATTGTAACAAAAAAAAAAAAAAAAAAACCAGCTCACGGGTTCTGAAAAGGTAGGTCTAGAATTCTTTTCTTTTCCCCTTTTTTTTGTTGCCCAAGGGAGGGGTCAGGACCCATGAACCCCCTCCCCCAGATCCGCCAATGTGAATCGCGAGAAAATGTAACTCATCGGGTACTGGATAAACATTCTCTTTCCTATCCTTCTCCTTTTCTTGCATTTCTTTCCGATCATACAAAAATCTCCAGACATTATATATTGTTTGCCAAAAAGTGAGGGGGGGAGGCCTTTCTTATTGTGCCTTTTTCCATTTGAACCTGCCTTTCCATAAAGCAATTGCTTTGGTGGTTGTGAGGACTTATTGTAGTGTGATTAGACAATTAAACTGAATGATATTTAGCTTCTTCAAGGTTGGAAGTCTCATGATCGCTGGACCTTTGGAATCTGCTATGAAAAGCTTTGTATTGCATGTTTAAAAGTTATTTGTGGTACAAGGTATATAGCCATAATGTTCTATTGTAGTTGCATTATATGCAGTTATCCTAGTATTAGACATCTTAACATTTGTCAGGGAGATCATTCTTAATTAATTTCGGGAACATTTATTTAAATAGGCTAAGTGGCAAAATAATTCCCTCTGCACCAGTATCACACTTAATGATGCATTATATATTTGTAATGGTGGAGCGCCAATGACATGCAACAGTAGTGACGTTTTTGTTGCTTTCTTGTTCATCCCAGACGCAACTGAATATAGTTGGAACCGCTGTTTGAACTCTTTCCAATTTTCTGCTAAATTGCCTTTAATGTTTAAGGGCTCATGCTGATTCAATTTCGCCATTATATTATTTTTTCCAACATCCAATAGTACTTCCTATGTTGATAATGTTCTCATGCGATACACTGATCTTCGAGGCTTACGCACCGAGTGCTATGACGATGTGACCCATCTGGATTCAACCGCACCATGCACATCAATCACTGGATCAGCTCACAACAAAATCAACAAAAATCACAGTTTCCGTCGTCGATCTTTATCCCAAGCTGCCACCATGTTATACTGTTTGGTTGTAATGATACGATGTAGACAACCGTTTGGGTTCACAACATCAACAACAAGAAACATGCATACCACACATTGGCTTTGTCATGTGTAGACACCATGTTGAAGCCATCTCTGCCTTGAGGCAAAGAGTATAAAACTGCAGGAGGTCCGACTGCCCTTATTTTGTATACAGGCGATGGAACGTTAAAAAGTACTCCCAGAAGGGGCGTGTCCTTCATAAGAACGTAAAAGAGGTTCGTATCTAACGCGTGCCGCGTTTCGAATTTCAGCATAGACGTGCACCATGCGTTCGATATGAACGCACTTTACGTTCTTTTAAAGGCCACGCCCCTTTTTGGGTAGTACTTTTTTAAATAGGATTGCGTTCCAAAGAATCCCCGGCAGTCGGACCTCTTGCAGTTTTATACTCTTTGCTTGAGGGCGGAGTACCAATTTATGAGGGCAGCAAACACATAAACTGACTCATGTACGTAACACTAGAAAACTAAGACATCTTAAAACTAAGACATCTTATGTCTTAGTTTTCGAGATCTTAGTTTTTAGACACCCCTGTCCCTGCATGGAATACCAGTCAAGTCGCCCCCTTGTAAAGTCGCCCCCTTGTTTTATATTATATATATACACATACCTGTCTCTTATACACATCTAGATGTGTATAAGAGACAGCTGTATATCTGTATTAACAACATCTCTATCTATCAGCGCTGCATACTTTCGGATCGACGATTTGAAAAAGTAACGAAGTCCAAAAGTGTATGTACTGCGCATGACTGGCTACACAGGTGAAAAAAAAAGGATTTAAAATACATGGCTCGCTGGCTCGCATGGCTTGCGCATTGTCTCGCATGACTCGCTGGCTGGCACTTTGTCACGACCCATTGGATTTAAAGATTAGTTTAGTCTAACGACCTCGTCGTGGCGTCGGACGAAAGATAGTGGGGGATGTCCAGGTTTGTAAAGGAGTACATGTGGTGCTCAACAAAATTAAATTAAAGTGCGATGAAAAGCAACGATAAATGGATTAATTCCAAACATTTTTATTGATATATAATTATAATTGATATACATTACGAGAACAAACAACTTTTTGTTCAGGGCTTTCTAGTCCCTGGAGGTCAATCGGAAGATCGCTTGCTTTCTGAAAGTGTTAGGCCTACTAGGCCTATTATAAGACTAAAAAATGATTCAGCGGCATTGTGCCCCTCTCCACTCACTAACTGGATCACCCTAATGTTAATACTCTATTACTGTATGTATTTATTACCAGGGTAGATCTCTCCATGGAAGTATACGCGCATGGTCTGTCTGCATGAATATACCGAAGGTTGACTAAAATTAATGTGTAATCGGTATAAGGCCTACCAGAAGCAATCACAGCACTTAACTTATTATTTTCTTTTTTTACAATTCTAGTGATATATAACTTATTAATGTTCCAGACTGAACTTTACAAGAAAATGTAATTGAAATTGTAGGAGCAGTATGTTCATAAAATGTAGGCTGCAGTTCCATTTGTGTGGCTAAAGTAACCTGTGTTTTATTTATTGCATATTGTGTATATTTCATAGCTGAATACTCTCCACATTGTGTAAATACAATTACAGTATGTTATATTCATTTTTGGTTTATGCATTAGTATGTATTCATGTTTCTTGCTCTTCTGGAGGAATAAGCAACTCAATTTATCTACTTATGGCTATGATAAGAAATTAAATTTTTAACAATATTATTTTCTACAGTTTTACCAGCTGCTATTTCATGGCATTCAAAAGTTCCATATTTCCAACATAGACTGTCATCCATGCTAACTTTATATATCGTGGCTGCCCCTTGAGGGGAAGGGATAGCGGGTCTATGTTGCCAGCATCTATTTCCGGGCATTCATAGGCGCCAAACAAGTTGTTTACCAACCATGGTGGGGCTAGAGTTGATATGATAATTATGTTCTCAGACCTCCAGACTAACTTCAAAATCCTGTAGCTGTATATAGAGATAGCAGGTCTCCACCCTTCATTTACTACCAAATTTGTCAAGTGCTCATACCACCCCCTCCCCCGCACCACCCCCTCACTATAATGGCCGGTCCACTTGCAAAATTCTTCCGACGGCTATGGTGTCCCTATATCTATAAATTCAAACTATATAGTCGAATATAAATTTTATATTAATTTAATTAATAATTAATTAAATGTCCTCACAAGAAAGCTGTGCAAGACCGCTTCTTTTTTATTGTACAATATATTACTAGCCAATATAGCAAATATGCTATTGTTTCGACTAATGTACAATTCACCATGTTAAACAAAGGCCGGGAGTAAGAACATCTGACTTAACAGGTCTCAAATACTACCCTCATTATAAATGTACAATAATTAGTCTTTATTCAACTAACCTATAAACATACTAATGGTTATAATGAATTCAACAGTTTTCAGATAATAAAAAGTCAACTAGACTTAAAAGATTACAAGATCAAATTCTGGGCGATCCTATTAATCCTATTTTACTTTATGCTGGTGTCTTAATTTGGTCCTCGCCTTGACATTTTGCTAGCAAATAATTATTTTTAACAATATCAATTGACAATGACGATTGAAGTTAACCCGAACGGCTATTTTAACTTTCAACAGGAACAACTTCATCTTCCTAGGTATAATTGTGTTTGTTTTTTTCTGAGCCTCCTGGTTCGTTAGAATGGCCGTATATTGAAAATCTTTTGACTAAAGTAGACAAGCCGCTCAAAGCGACCTTCGTAAAATCTGGAGATAAATTTGGGGACAGACCAAGGAGGATGGAGTCAGTAATAGAAGAGATTGTTTGTCATCATTTAGTGGAGTTGAATAGCTTGGTGGTTAAGATGCTTGCCGTCCAATTCCAGGGGCCTAGGCTCAATTCTTGTCAGTGTTGCAGGATATTTTTCTCATGACCAAAACAAATCCACTCCCTAAATCTCATGTTGAGATTTAGTTTGTGTAAAAACATCGTGTGTGTATGTTTGTCTTGTGTAAGGGATTGTCACCTACAAGTAGGACAGTGACATATTCGCTATTGACAATCCTTGGCACATGTATTATGTGCCTAAATAAATGTAAAAAAAAAACATTAATATACAGACCTAGTTTGTTTTGTCTTTTCAATCGCGTTTCTAGAATTCATCCTAAATGTTTTAATGAAAAAGCAGGCTACAGTTCCTAGTAAAGACCAGGTCGTACAACACCATATTGCACGGATAAGACATAGGCCACCATGGCGATCGAAGTTATTCAAAGAGCGATTTTACATTTTGACTGGAACTCCGGTTTTTTAGGAATACTTGTATGTTTTCTTGTCTGGGTGTTATTTTGGAGACGTAGGAAATCTCAACTTAACTTTCCTCCGGGTCCGCTTGGATTGCCGTATATTGGAAATCTTTTGGCTTTAGCAGGTGAGGCCCCTCACGAGACTCTGATGAAGATGTCTAACAAATATGGCAGTGTGTTTGGATTAAAGCTAGGCGTCTTTCCAGTTGTGGTTTTAAGTGATTACGAGAGCATCAAAGAGGCTTTTGTAAAATCTGGAGATAAATTTAGTGACAGACCAAGAATGGTAATGTTTGATGGTATCAGTAAAGGACGAGGTAAGATCATTATCTCATGATTACTCTAATACAGGCTTGTACATCCACAAAGGATGGTAAATAATCCAGCACTAAAGAAAACAATGTGCATAATACGACAGGTGATTCTATTATTGTTTTGGAGTGTTTTGCAGCACTAAAGAAAATAATGTGCCTGAATACAACTGCTGGCGATTTCATTATTAAATGGAGGGTATCAATATATTCAGGCACAGGGCTGAGGTATACACCTGTCTCTTATACACATCTTGGCTATGATAAGAAATTAAATTTTTAACAATATTATTTTCTACAGTTTTACCAGCTGCTATTTCATGGCATTCAAAAGTTCCATATTTCCAATTCTTTGTAACCCAAAGGTGTGATTGGAGCGTATCATGAAAAGGGACAAAAAGAGCAGCGTCGTTTTGCTCAGTCCGCGCTTCGGAGCTTTGGTATGGGGAAAAGGAGCTTCGAGGAAAAGATCACCGAGGAAATAGAAGTCTTCGTTGAGCACATCAAGAACAACTTTTCAAGAGTTGCCTTCGATCCCTGGCACATCATCAGTACATCTGTTTCTAATGTCACTTGTTCAATCATCTTTGGTCGTAGGTTCGACTACCGTGACAAAACATTCTTAGAAATGCTGAGCATAGTGCACCGAAGTTTTGAACTCTCAACCAATGCCAGTGCCATGAATTTCCTGCCCATTTTGAAATATTTACCACATACTGCTTTTGCAGAGCTCTGGAAAATATACCTGACTTTTAAAGATTTCCAAATAGGTATTTTCAATGAACATTTGAAGGAATACGATCCAGAGAACCCACGAGATTTTATCGATATATACAGGACACAGATCTCTAAGGATAAAAGTGGAGTGACATCTTTCGACGAGGCTAACATGGCATTCGTTACAGCAGATTTGTTCGTCGCTGGGACAGAGACCACAGCCACTACACTACTCTGGGCACTGCTGTACATGACACTTTATCCAGACATTCAACAGAAGGTACAGGATGAACTGGATAAAGTAGTAGGAGCTGGGAGTCACCCAACGAAAGAACATATTCAACGGCTTCCGTACACTGAAGCTGTGCTTCTGGAGATTCAGAGAATGGGTGCAATCGTTCCTCTCGGAGTACCCCATGCTGCATCACTCGACACAAAATTTCATGGATATGATGTCAAGAAAGGTACGATTATTATAGCAAATATTTTTGCAGTATTACGAGATCCTGATCTTTGGGAAGATCCGAACGTATTCGATCCGAATCGATTCCTAGATGCTAACAATCAAGTCGTTAGGCGTGAGGAACTGATTCCGTTTTCGATTGGTGAGACAAAGTTTATTTATTCGTTTCTTAATTGTGATCCGATTAATGTTTTATACTGTTTAGAGTTTCTTTCATGTGATATTATTATGTAACCATCTAAATTTAATGTATAGTTATGTATATATAGGCCTATATATAAGAATATGATAGGCCTATTAATATAGAATATGATATTAAATTTTTTCCAGGTCGACGTGCGTGTCTGGGAGAACAGTTGGCTAAAATGGAACTGTATTTATTCTTTACAAATCTCATGATGTGTTTTAAGTTCAGACGACCAGACAACGCACCAGAGCCAAACTTGCGCGGCAAGATGGGAGTAACACGAATACCTCACAGTTTTGAAATAAAAGCAACATCGAGGGTTGCAGAGTTACCTGGACCCAGGTAGCAGGCAAACATGGCCCCATATGGGAAATGTATGGGCCAAAATGTGGCCCCTACAGTTTGGCCTATATAGGATCAAGCTGCCTGTGCACCCTAAATCCACGAGGGTCTCATAAAGGGCCCTCTAAAGGATATATTTAGGTCCCTTACGGTTCGAATTATGGTTTAATTTGATACCCATATGGGTTTGTCCAAGTTAATTTATGGGCCCATTGTGGGCTCTATTTGGGTTTTTAAGGGGTTGAATCGGGGTTGAAATCTAAGGGGACCCTTTAAATTGGCCTATATGGGAAAGAGCTGCCTGTGCACCCTAAAAGCAATATGGATCCCATAAAGTTGACTCAAATTAATTTATGGGCCCTTTAAAAATATATTTGGGACCATCAGATTTGCATTATGGTTTCATTTGGGACCCATATAGGTTTAACCTGGGTTTTTTGAGGATTGAAATGTAAGGGGCCACTATAAATTGGCCCATACGGGAAAGAGCTGCCTGTGCACCCAAAATCCATAAGGGTCCCATAAAGTTCATGATGGGGCCGTTAAAGGATATATTTTGGCCCCTTAAGTTTCCATTATGGTTTTGTTTGGGACCCGTGTGGGTTTTGTCCAAAATAATTTACAGGACCATGCTGGGCTAAATCTGGTTTTTCCAGGGCTGAATAGGAATTGAAATGTAAGAGTGGGGGGGGGGCCACTAAAATTTGTTGGGTATTGTGATTTTCACAACTGCTCAACTGGTGCAAGTTCCAACTGGTCTTTAGCTGGTCCCAGTTCCAACTTGATTTCAGCTGCTGGTCCCAGTTCCATTTGGTCTTCAATTGGTCCCAGCTCCTTGTTGTAAAATAACAATGGCTTTAATTGACTCCTGTAGACTTACAAAATACACTGAGTTTAAGATATACAAACCATAATTTCTTTAATTAAAAAACATCAGCTGTATTCATGGGGTAGGGACTTGCATACCCTTTCGCATATCATTTGGCTAAGTCTTTAGTGTTACGCTTACAGTCCTGTTTATATCAGCATTTCTATCTATAATTATAAGCCTATTATATTATAGCATCACTAGAGGTTATAATACAGAACCATATTCAAGAATCGTTTGCATCCGGCGTGCATATAAACCAACATTCTTTGTGTATTGAAGCGGCATTTCTCCATAACCATGCATTTTCTTGTCCGATGACAAGGTAAATTAAGAATCTTACTAAAATTTCAGATAGTATGAATTCTGCAATTGAACAAATCAAGTTCGAAATATTGAATTAACTTTTTTCGGAATTCCACAATTGCTGAAAGATATTTAAAAAAATCTTTAAAACAGAGCTAAGCAAAACATGCATTTCATAGTCCTTGGCATTTCGAAAAAAAGAGATTCAAAACTCACACTATACAGGTCAAGATAAAAAAAATCAATGGCAGGGGAAAATCTTCTGTCTATTAAAATATGCAAAATGATTTTTTTTAAATTGTCTTAATTAAAGGTGATTTTGCTGTTCGTGTCTTTAGGCAAAGAATGAATTAGTACTGTAAATGTACAGTACATAAAACATTCCTACTTAAATTTAAAATCTGTTATTTCCCTTCAAAATCAATGATATTAAAACCATAATTTACTGTAACAAAGATAATATACTAGCAGTTTTTACGTTTTATCAATAGTGAATTATCAGTTCCAATCCTTTTTTTTTTAGTTTTCAAAACAGCGTAAAATTAAATGTTGTGCAGACAGTACATTATGGTGTTACAGTGATATCCATTATAGGCCTATAACATAAATAACATATATTTTATTAGTTACAACCTCCATAATGGTAGTAAGTACAGTATACTGTGTCTACTTTGAGTATGATTCATAATCAGAACCTACAGTACAGAAGCCCTAAACTTAAAACCTAAACAAAACATTTTATTCACCTTTGAAAGTCAGGCAATTTTCTGTTTCCGCAACTGCCACAATGAGGCTTCAAACATATATCACTTTACTGAGAGAACTGCTGGGACTAAGTGACCAACATCTTCTGAAAAAAGGCAAAATTTATTAATTTTAGTGATTAGGCCCTATGCCACATACAATAACTGTCGCTAAAAATACTAAAGGTTTACCCCTCAACCCATTGTTTCATTATTTAGCATAATTGTGGCACCCAATCACAACGGGTAACAATTGCGAAATCAATTACTTATCGACTACTATTGGTGAGCTTTTAGACAAGATTTTAGTTTCTGATTGGGTGTCGCAATTGCTACAACCGATCGCAATGCGAAGCTAGCCTGAATGTGGTATAATTTACCAATAGGTAAACTATGGGGCAAGGCTACAGTTTGGGCAGTCCAACAAATTACTCCAATAATTAATCAATGACACAGAATTATCTAAATGATACCACAATTATTTTATATTACCATTACATATATTATTTTTTATTATTATTATTAATAATTGAATAAAATAATAATAAAATATGATATATAATAATAATAATATAAAATAAATTATTATTAATATATCTACTTTTATTTTGATAGGGCCTATTATTATTATTATTATTATTATTATTAATATTATAGATTTTTCTTACTACTATTACTGTTGTTATTATTGTTATCCGCATTATTAGGCCTATTAATTATTTTTTATTAGAATCTTAATATACCTTTATAAAGTGATGTATATTTTATGAATACAGTAGTAGAATCACTTCTTTAGGACACCCCTATTTATATAGGATTCTAATCAATATCAAAACATATTACTCTATTCATGCTACATCCATCTAATAGAAAGCTCTAATGTGAGTGAATTGTTATTTGTAAATAAAACCAGTCTTTGTCTACCTTTTCAGTACATTTCACATACACAATGTACACATACATATTAATCACATTATACTATTTTAAGCCATATGAAATTATTTGATCATTTATAGAAAGCTCAATAAAAAAAAAATATTTGGTCGTTAACATTGCATAATGAAAGGATATTGGGAACATATTTAACTATTGTTGTTCTAATTACATTTCTACTGATTTCATATTATAAATGAATTGTTTTGCATTGAAAATTATTGCTATAAGTTATTATTGTACTCTAACTGATTCTTATGTCAATAAAGATAAAATTGTAATTATTATATGAATACATGCAAAAAAAAACCCCCAGAATAGGGGTACCCTTTTCAGGGGACACCCATATTAAGGGTTCTACTGTATACAGTAAAACAAAATCACATACACGAATATTAGGGATTTATAAGGATTCAAACTGGCTACATTCAAAGTTTATTTTTGATATTACCATACCGTCTTCAAATTCACAACAGGAAAGTTTAAAAGTTAACTCTAGGCCTATACACTGTTACTTCAGGCTGCCTACCCTAGCAGGGGTTTTTTTTTTCTTTTTTTCAGGGGCATTCCACAGTATTTGGTCTGTGAGGGTAATTTTAAAATTGTGCCTGTGTATTGGATTTTTAACTATTCAATATAAAAACATAAACATTAGTAAATCCTTTTTCTTTTCGTCAAGAGTCACGGCGCATTATAAATGCTGTTTTATATTATTTATTTATTAATTCTTATTGTACGTATCTTTTGGTAATTTCTCAATTTAAATGTCAAAGTTTCATGGAAAACATTCAAAATAAATCTAGCACTGTTGAATTAAACAGGTGATGTTTACTTCTGGTAAACATTTTTATGTAAACTGTTTATTTCAGATTGGCAACATCCGAAATCAACTATTCATTTCACACCGGGAACGTCAAACTATTTTTAACACAAGTATTTTTTCATAAGTATGTTAAACGCATTTGAACCAAATCTGTATCAATTAAAATGAATAAAATATTAAATTGTGTATGCATTGGTTACATTTCTTTTTTTAGAATGTTAAACGATTCAATTTTTTTGAAATTATTGAAAGAAAAGAAATATGTTATGATGGGAAAGTATAATACATACTCCAAGTATTGAAATACACGCCATCGTGTTGGGATTCAATATTTCGACATTAATTATGTCATCATCAGGAATTCCTGATGAGATTAATCAGTGGACCTTTCATGTTATGATGGATGTAACAAATTTATAATAATATTCTGCATTATTTTGACGAATAAAATTGAATGTAAATTTAAGTAGCCTAAGGCTAAGTTTATAAATGATAGTATAATAAAAGTTATGTCTAGGCCTAAGCCTATAATGAATAAAGAAATAATCTATGTCCGAAAATATTACACATATAACGTTAAAAACAGGTGAAACGAATAAATCAATACCTACAGATGGCAATTCGTCGGACCTCTTTTAGCTAGGACCTCCCTACGGCCTAGACCAGCAGGCTGATGCTAAGCTAGTTCTGTAGTACTAGAGGGTCTAGGCCTCGTTATGTCCTTACTAAATACCTCCTTGTTCCTACTAACTATACTATTACCACGTTATGACTGTTATACCAGGGAAATACACTGGTATCCAATCTCAGAACATTTGTAAAGCGCCTTTCTTTGCAGATACGAAGCGCTGCACCCCCACATATTTAGGCACCTCACAACCCACAAGCAGCCGTTATCATTGCCTAACCCAAGCACAGAACAAGTAAACAAATCAAAAGAAGCAGTGGCAAAGCTTGTAAACATGAGTAAATAATGCAACAATAAAAATAAAAATAAGAATAAAAATGGGATAATTATTTAAAGAGATGAGTCTTTAAGTTAGACCTAAAGACAGTCACAGATGGTGAAGATCGAATGTGCACTGGAAGGTTATTCCAGAAGAGTGGCGCCTCGCATGAAAAAGATTTGTTACCAATACGCTTGTTAAAGATAGGTTGATGGAAATTAACATTCAAAGCTGATCTGGTACGAATTTGCTTTTTACGTACAAGTAAAAATTCAGAGATATATTGTGGGCATATGCCAGGCAGTGATTTGAAATCAAGAAACATTAATTTGAAATAAACCCTTTGCCTAAAAAGCACCCAGTGAAGTTCACGAAGAAGATTTGAAGTGTGAGTGTGAGAGGATCGGATGTTAAAAATAAGACGTGCAACTTCTGTAATTTTAGAGAATCCGTTACAGTCAACTCAGAGTACAATGATTTGCAGTAATCAATTCTAGATAAAACAAGTGCACGAACTGCTTCATGACAGGTGTCATAGCCAATAAATTTGTGAATCCTCCATAAGTTACGTATATGGTAGGCTACTTGGTCGATTTACAAACTGACTGAACTCGATTAGAGAGCGACAGCGTGGAATCAAATGTGACACCAAGATTACGGACCGAGTTAGTGGGTAGAATGTTAAGTTCTCCAAGTGACAGAGAAGCCTGTCTAACGTGATCAAGCTCTAAGTGCCTGCTTGGAAGCACAAACAATGAATTCTGTTTTGTTATTAAGTTTAAGCTTATTCTTAGCCATCCAAATCTTAACATCCTTGATACATAACCTAAGCCTATCCAGAAGAGAAGGGTCAAAATCAAGATACAGTTGTAGATCATCAGCATAAAAATGATTTAATACAATGACGCCTGATGATGTCTCCAAGCGGACTGATGTATAAGCTAAATAGAACAGGACCGACTACCGAGCCTTGTGGAACCCCAAAAGTTAATAAGTGTGAATCTGAGTAATTATCATCAACACAGACACGACAACTCCGGTTGGTGAGATAGGAATCAAACCACCTTAAGGCATATCCTGAAAGTCCAAAAGAAATATTTAGACGATTAATAAGGATCTTATGGTCAACTGTGTTAAACGCAGCCGAAAAATCGATCAAGACTAACAAGACACCTCGATGTGTATCAATCGAGACAGCAATGTCAGTATACACCTTGAGTAATGCTGTCTCAGTACTATGGAGTGGACGATACGCCGACTGCAAGTGTTCAAAAAGTTTGTTTGAAGTAAGATAAGCATTAAGCTGAATCATTGCCGCTTTTTCAATATCTTTTGAACAAAAAGACAGGTTAGATACCGGTCTGAAGTTGCTCAAAACATTGACATCAAGGCCAGTTTTCTTTAAAATTGGTTTAACCACAGCACTTATAGAAATCTGGTAAAAAACACCAGATGATAATGAGACATTTACAAGCTTTGTAATCAAAGGCAGAATAATGGTAGAGTAAACCACATTAACTAAATCAATAATTAAAACAAAACTCTTACCCCTTGATACTGCTGAAATACATCCAAGTCTATGTTTAAACCGCCTATCATCAAGAGCTGTAACTGTACCAATTAACTGATAAAAATTCAAACACCAGCATTCTTGGTCTTGAATAGACTTGCCACAAGTCTCTTATTTTTTTAAATTATTTTTCTCATTCTGGACAGCGCCACCAACGAGAAAGTTAATTTATAGACGGAATAAGCGACTTGTAAAACACTGAAATTAGGCACCAGGATGCCAAAAGAATGACGTAATCTTATATTCCGTATTTGGATAAATGGGCGGACCGAAATAAACAATTTCAACCAATCAAATGTTCATATTTTTGGAGCCACGAAACTGAGTCACTCGCGTCGACTAGTTAGGCCATA